GACACGCCCTAAGACACTTTTAAGTTCTCCGCACGTGTATTATCTGGGGATGCCAGCTTAGTTTAGGTTGCTCTGTAGCATAAAAGGTACAAAGAAAACAACAATTAAACCCGGTCCTTATTCATAAGTCTCCAATCTGTGTTAAAGATTTTCATAATTTCTGATTTGTTCTCAGTATTATCATTTTGACACAGCCCTGGCTTGTGGACACATCAAAGATAGCATTTTGCATGGCTGACGTTAAGAGAGTTTTTTCCTATTGTTATCGGGACACTGCCATCGTAAGTGAATTACAAAGCATAAAGTTAAATCATAAATCAGTTTCTTAGACAATGCAACAATTATGATTTTACTCTTGGCGATCTGTGTTGAGTAAAGTACTCAATAAAATAGCGATAGTACAAATCAAAATCCATTTGATTTTATACAGCAAAGTGTACATAATTTGAACACATTCACTTGGGATAAGATTTAAGATCAAGAATATTTGGGGGAGGGTTTTTTGTTTTGTTTTTTAGATGGATGCTGAAAGTGATTGTGCTTTAAAAATGGGCATGAAATCACTTAAAACCCATCTAGGCAACGTAGGTTTAAAAGAAAAAAAAACTTCCAAAGCTGATGCACTTATGACACTCTGGATGTCATGTAAAGTAACTTTCACAAAGCCGTTATGTAAATATGTTGCAGGGTGATGTTATTAAGTTACAAAAAAGAAGAAAAAAAAAAGACTGAACTGGCCAATAAGGCTTTTTGCCAGTTCAGAAGCAGCATGTTTTTCCTAGTGAGAGGGAATAACTGCCTTATAAGTAGACTTGGCTGAGTTTTTTTTGTTCATGCACAAAAAAAACACAACCAACCTTTAAAACACACTAACGCAAAGCGAACGTTTTGCAAAGCCCAATGAGAGCACTTGAAGTGTGAAGGTACAGAAAAATGTCTTAAACTAGAGTCAGGAGGACAGTGACAAAAGCATAAGAAAGTCAAAGAATAAAAGAAAAAAAGTTTATGTTGTGTAGTTTTAGCCTGAGTGTTTTGCTGTGCAGCACAGTGCACAGAGAACTGCCCCCCTTTTCACTGTAACTATAAAAAAAAACAAGTGGTAACTGAGCAGACACAAATATCAGGGTGCTCTGCTCTGCGGATGTATTTTTATACATGAACGTTAGACACTCAATCGCCCAGTTCAAGAGATTAATTTAGTGCAACATTATCGAGAAAACACAGCTTGGTTATCTGTCAGACGTTTCCCCTCTGCCTGTGAAGGACTAAGCTAAAGGGACATAGCATGAGCTACAGCTCCACCCCTAACCCACGCTACTGCCCAGCTCCAGAATAAAAACTCACTCCAGTTGCAAGCCTCTAGCTCCTCCTGTGGTCGGTCATGTCTGCCTTCTCCACTGCCTATGTCCCCTAGACAGGGTCCAGCTCGATGAAACAGCCTTCCTGCCAGCTTGTGAATTACAGACATCACACAATGCTGGAGGGAAGCCAGCTGATGTCCCGTGTAGACTTTTAAAAACTGCTGTACGTCCCGATATTTTACCAAGGAGGAATTCCACAAAAATGCTCAACTAACGTCGTCTTAAAGGCCCAAACTTTAAGCTATCCTTGTATGGCTGTTTAGTCTATAGAGCAGAAGAGGCGATGACCAACTGTGCAGAGCCTGGGCTGGAACTTCCTTGCTCCTTCACTTCCTACTGCTGTTCACTTGTCTGTCCGCCCTGCTTCTTCCTGTGGGTCAGCTCTGCACAGCAGTTCAGTGTCTCACTTGCCTGCCCAGCCTGGAAAGTTCGGACGCGACACGTGTTAAACACCTGGACCAGCTCTCAACACTGTCCTTCCATTTTACGTAGGAAACAAAGGCGGCTGCCATGTTGCCCTTAATCTCTAGCTGCTCTGTGGAAAATGATGCTTCTGGGTGTGGCCTTTCAACCCCTTGCCTGCACCTGTCTCTGTAGATCAGACTGATAAAGATGTGAAGTATGACAAAGTATGAAAAGACCTTCCGGCAGCACTGCCTCCTCTGTCAATGTTTTTAACCTACTAATCCGTCAGTTTCCTTTACGTCTACAACCCTGAGGAAAAAAAATTAAAAATCTTTGAGCCAGGGCTCTTGAAAGCCTTGGCCTTGTTACATGGGTAACAGTACAGTAGAGAGCCTAGAGGCCATTCTTCACACTTACTCTCTACCAGCAGCAAGGAGCTGACATTCATTTAACAGGTACCCGTTCAGACTTTGCACACTTGAGCGTCATTTATGGTGTTATGGAAACATAAAACAGTGTCCTCTCAAAACTTTTCTGCAACCCTGTGATCCAGACTATTAAAAAGGAACTTCCAATGTTTTGACTGAGTTATTTTGATAAGAAATTAAGTCGTTTTTAAAAATACTTATTATTGTATATGATTAACATTTCTTTGGGGGTTTTTATTCTACTTTTGTTGAAGAACTTTTTTATAAAAACAACAACAACAACAACAAATATATACTAGACAAAAACAAACAAATAAGATGGTCCAAGATCACCTCTTTCTCCACATTACACAGACTCCGTGACGCATACAAGTGCCCTTGTTCTAAATGCCGCTCATCACATGTTGTTCAAGAGACTCCTCAACTCCCAACTTTGTGCCTGCAGACAAATTGCCCTCATGCATCATATGACCCTGTCCTGGTGGCATTATTTTCCTCCCTCCACTGATAACAGTTATTTTTGCTCTATGAGAGTCACTGCATTAAGATCTCACTCATCACTTAATGTAAACATCCTAATGTAAACATAACCTCCTAAGACCCGAACTCTTCCACGGCATGCATTTTTAATTTCTCTTTGATATTTGGGCATTTTTTTTTAACCTTATTTTTCTTTTTAAGAAAAATAAGAGCCATATATGAGGATATTCATTTAAAAATTTGATAGAACAGTAGCAGTATAATGTACTTGTAAGTGGATATCAGCCCCATGTAGAGCAAAATTGAGTATTTTGGTCTGAATAACCAAAAATATTATGTCCACATATGTGGACGACAGGTCCTAGGAGGTTAATGTAAACATCCAAAGTAGTATGTGCATCTCTCCTCTGGCTTCAAAAACAGAGAAGAAAGTTTTATTTTTCTGAAGCGATTCTAAGAAGTGCACAAGAAAGCAGCTGCACAGTGGGCTTTGTGTTTGCGGTGTTATCGTCGGCTTTCATGACCTGATGTGAAGACCTAAAAAACACAAACCGCAAGGAAACCTATGACTGTTGTATGAGGCCAATTGTTGTCATCCTCACTGGTAACTCTGAATATAACCTCGGGCTCGCAGTCACGAGCTTTCCCACAGGATGAGCAGAGAAAATGAATAACATCCCCTGCTGTTCCGATGAGTTGACCGTGGCCTCACAGTAAAACAACTTTGGCTGAAAGTGTATGACAGTGTATGAGGTGAATGACCACGGGTGGGTGTCCTTCGTGGGTCTAGGTTGACAAACACTTCTTCATATTAGAGAAAATCCGTTGCAGCATTTTAATGTGGTCTCATTATGGATGCACAGTACAGATGCTAGGTTGTATACTCCATATGTACCTGTCATTATGGGAAACAGGAAATGACTATAGCAAAACGATCTAAGGGGCAGATGGCATGATCGGGCTAGCTGCTTCAACTTAGAGGTAAAAGGTACAACTCACCGCTCTCCATCTCATTGCCCTTCTTTGCTGTGGGCGTGTTGCCCATGATGGCAGGCTGATGGTGGAGTCCCTTGGCTTGGAATCAGTTTTCCTTTGCGAGTCACTGAGTATTGTTACACCGTTAACGCAAGTCACTGGACTCAATGAAGCTGACAGCTAGCTACTAGCTGACAGCTATCATTATTGACTAAATGTAAATGTAGATCAAAGCAGTACTCTTCCGTTGTGACTTCAGGGAAACTCAGAAGACTGCCCCAAGCGTTAGCCGCTTTAAGTTAGCTCAGCTTAGCGCGTTAGCTCGCAGAGATAGCCAGCGGATGTCAGCTTGGTAGCGTTAGCTCGTCGATTTCTCCAGCAAGCACGGACAAATCAACTTGTCAATTAGTTGTTATTTATTTCCACAGACGGCTTGGTTTTGTACCAAAAAAAAAAAAAACCCTCAAGTCCGGGCACAGATCGTCGAAAGCCACTTCCGTCTGTCTAACTAGCAAGCTAAAGTTAGCTTCTGAGCGTTCCTCGCAGTCTGGCCTTAACTAACCAGGTACTCTCTCAGTGTATGCAGGCCTTCTCACTTGAGACCTTTTTTTAAAAAAATGTCCAGTATAGTCGGGTTTTTTTTAAACAATGGCGCTTATCCCACTTGATTTCTCCTCATTCGTTTCCAAAGAAGCCGTCAAGTGCAATGGTTTCCTGGGACCGACCACCTGATAGTCGATTCCTCAGATCAACAGACCCCTTCCATTAATCTTCAGACCGCAAGGGAAACTCCAGTCATCCATCCACCCAGGCCCGCCTTCGCCTGCCTCTGAGTGGCCCCGCGCACAGACAATTACGTGCGAGGCGTAGCTATTCGAGCGCTCATTGGATCAGCATCTACACATTGAATCATTGCATTCATGCGATTCGACTGTCAAGCGACTTCGTCCCGCCTCCCGGACTTGCCAGTAGCTAAAATGCCAATAACAGTTACCGCGTCTTTCGTTTTTGACTGCAAATTAACAGCTTTTCTTTATTTATCTGAGAGATTATTGTAGCGAAAGCAAATCAGATGCTTTTGCAATAATCCTCATATTTGCAGTGCAATGTTTTTCGTTTCTGTGGCCTAGCCACCCCCTTTACCATAGCAATCTGTGATTGGTTGTGACGTTAATACATACTATTTTTAGTAAAATGTGAAAATATGAGGGGATACTCACACTTGTATTTGTGATACTGCGCTTGCAATACGATAAAAGTGTGGAATATACTTATAAACCTAGCACTTGTTACCTATATCTAACAAGTGGAGATCGAATCCAAGTAATTATTAGAAACCCACTCATACAGATATAACAAAATCACCGTTCTTTTATTTGGAACACAAAATTACAACATAAAAGGAGGAAAAAACCATGAAGCGATATAAGTAATACAAAACTCCACAGTCAAATGGGAAAAGTAAGTGTAAGTGCACTGTGAACACAAATATAATGGCAGATTATCAAACTGCAATTTAATTGCCTATTGCTTCAGTGCTGAAATCTTTATAAACAGGTACAAGTCCATTGTGCACCAAGAAAGGAAGTAAGGTGGATCATTCAACAGCTTTGTTACGTTTCAGTTCCGTTTTATCGCTTCATATTTGAGGTTTCCTGCAATATTGCTTTCAACACTGGAAAGAACTATCCAACTATAAATAACACTCATTCCAGTCAGACACTCATAATCTTCCTTGGAACAAATGCTTGTTTGAAACCCAGGGTGAGAACTCATGTTTGAGAAGTCTCGGGAAAATAAAGGGCAGCTATAAGGCAGGGATGTGTACAAATCCTTTATTCCCACTTGAATGTCCATAGGCATTGTTCAAAAGTAAGGTTTCAGGCTGTGAATCGTCACCTTTTTAGGGCAGGGGCCATCTTTATAAGCAGTCCATAGAGTTATCTGGGAGTACACCCAAAGGTGGGGCCTTGCCAGGGAGACAGGATGGCGGGAGCATGGAGTTTGAAGAAGGATCCACATTTTCACAGTCTTCCATACGCTCTGCGCAGCCTTCCCAGTTTATATGGAATCTGGTGACACGTGGGTTTGAAGCTAGAATATTTCTCTGCAGCTGAAAAAGGAAAAACATAAAAATAAATTCTTTGCACAAGTTCTTTAGGAATACCTAACACAGCATCTTTAATAGAATCATTTGGACCACAATTTAAGGCAGTTTTATTTCATCTTCATCGTGTATTTGTGTTATTTCTGCATGTCAGTGTAAATAACATTAATATGACATTAATTAATGTTCATTATACTAGTGTACGCTAGTGTAACATTTAAGACCAAGTGTGATATTAGAAGTGTACATGAACATTTAAAAAAAACAAACAAAAAAACCCAACTGTATCTGGCAGCATTTGAAAGTCTTTACCATTTACCCTGACTACTAATTGATTTTCTGTTAGCTCCAACATCAAAACAGGCACGCTGCTGGTGTAAATGCATCTGACTCCATGTGCTCTCTAGACTCAGGGCAGGAAAGAGTGAACCCAGTAGTACAAAGGCACAGTGTGGTATTTTTTTTTTCTTCACAATAGCTAATCACATAAACTCACACAGGAAACAAGAACTTTGCAACTCTAATCGGAGTAAGCTGTTTAGATATTTTTTTTGCATTTGTAAGTGAAAGGTTTTAATCACAGATGTCAGCCACCTTAAAAATTTGACACCTTCAATCAAAACCCTTTGCTATGACCACAAATCTCACAGTGGCTTATTACTGAAGGAATAAGCCACTGAAGGAATGTCATAATCAAACTTTCACAACGCTTTTTGTTCCAAAGTGCAAGCTTTGCTGAATTAAAGGCTTCAACTTCAGGGCTCCAGTAGTGCACCATGCTGCTCCATATGTATGGTAATGGTTGCAAAGCATATCATATATTTCATTTTCAATTAGATATTTGATTAATTTCTGCATAAAAAAAGTAGGGTTGATTTTTACAATAAAATCCCATTGAAGTTATCTGCAAATACAATGTAACTCTTGCACTAAGCTAATGTAGAACAACAACAAGTCTTCTTTGGCAAATGAGATGGTTCAATTTCGAGTCACTCAAAGTAGATAGTGTTCTTTTAAAATGTTAAAACACTGTCACTTGCTTCACAGGACGTGTAGTTAGTCCTGTAAGGATCTCCAAAAACTAGACATCTCTTGGGCAGGAAGGGAAAAGATAACCATTAAATGAGCGCAAATGAGCTGGAAATGTAGTCCAGACTGGTCCTACATGGAAGACTCATCAAAAGAAACCTTACCTGCAAACTTGTCATACAAGTCAGTAGTTGACTTATGCAAAGAAACGCCACACTTGTTTTGGAAACAACTGCTGTGGACATATTCATATTGAGCTTTATGGTAGCAAAGATATGTCTGTAGCAGTATTTTGTAATGAACAAAACACTATTAAAAATGGGTGTGGAAAAAAAAAAACCTCCTTTAGGATCGTTTTTGCAGCACAGTAAATATTTCAGGAAATGGAGGAAATAATCGTAACAAAGAATCAGCAAAATCTTATTCAAAATGCGATTCAGGTTTAGAAAATAAAGGTTAAATGAGGCCAGCCTTTACAAAGTATACCAAAGCCTACCTATTTGAAGTAATGAAAGTCCAGTTTGTGTAAAAAGTCACTCTCCACTGACTTGAGCATTATCCAAAATATCTATGTAGATGTTAAACATTTTCTGTGTATAAAATAAACATCTGTGATTGACACAAGAGCAGGTGAAAACGCCAAAATGAAATCAGTACTGCCGTAGTATGCTTCTTGTAAACATTGGCACATTACCTCTGCAATAATTATGAAATAGTTTCCATTTTTGGAAATTCAATAATTAATGGTAAATTTTCATTTAATAACATCTGAAGAACTAGTCATTTTTGTTTATTTCTTCTTTCAATTACAACAAAAAATGTTGTAATCTCTGAGTGGTACCAAAAGACTTCAATATAACTGAGCGATGGTCTGCCTCCAGTGCATGCGTCACAACGAGTGATGCATTTCTCATCAAAATTTTCAACTGTCAACCTAACAGGCCAGTGAAATTCAGGTTTATTTCCAAAAGGGACTAATTTTAGATTCTCAGGGTACTTAGGTCTACTTCAAATAGCCAAATAACCTGTGGTGGTTTTTAATTTGACTGCAATTATAAATGTTCAGTGGAAATAGGCCTTTACCGTGTAATTTACACCAATAACATTCAAAATAGACAGTCGTGGTAGCATTGCATCTCAGAAATCAGTCATGATCCTAACCTGTGTGTAGTCTGGCTTGATTGGAGGATTTTCACGCAGCTCTGGGTCTGTGTATTCGTTGTTCACATAGTAACCAATGCGAATGAACTCTTGGCTGCGGTACGTGCAGGTAATGAGCACTACTGTAACACCAACTGCATCGCTTTCAGGAATCAATCCAGTGTTTGGGGCATCCGCCTGATAAACAAGCAAGCAAACAAACAACAACAAAAAGCTATTAATATATGTGGAGCTCCACTGCTGTTGTGATTTGGTCAGATTAGTCACAAATAGTGCCTACTTTTTCTGAGTGTCAATTAATTATACCTGAAACACAAACATGTGTCTCCCAGCAGGTACTGGGCCAACCAGCACCGAGTCGAGGATTTGGTCGTACTCTTCACTCTCTGCTGAGCCGACATAGATGATCTTCCACTCCAGGTCTATAAACAGGAAATATTACAATAGAGTGCTTCATTAGGTTAATGTGCACAATGGTTTTTAATATTTCAAAAGCTTTATAAATTCAGTTTGGTTGTGTGCTCGTACAAAGAATCTGTCCACATAAAGTTACACAAACAAATGCAAAAAAACAAAACAAAATTTTAGATTTCCATCCTTGAATAGAGCTATATTTTGTTTACATTTTTACGCACAAACATTAAAACGTTGGCTAATTAGCACTGAACTTGTTTTTTTTCCCTTAATGGAAATAATAAGATTGCTTTACCATATTCATAAGTACCACAGGACGTGCGAGAAGCGTCCACTCTCCTTGTTATGGCTTTAAGCCATGCTGTTATGCAACTTTAATGTTATCTTTAAGCAACGTTACCCTTTACACTTCAACAAAAAGTAGTTAGCTACTACAGCTAATACTGTGTAGCTGTTAGCAGACTTATGTTGTAGCTTCACACAAGCGATAATGACAGCTGTTATGCAATGGTACCAACCTTCAGCAAGGTCCTCCATACACTCAAAGGTTATTTCAAACTGAAAGGGGTTTCCGAAAGGACTCGGGTTGTCTAGGACAGCCACATTCAACACCTGTACCTTCGCCATATTTTCTGGAGCGGTAAGAAGGGGCAGTTTCCCGGGGAACCTTAAAAAGCAACACTCTCGCAACACAAGCGGTTACCACAATTATTATGGATCACACACCTGTGCTTTCACGAAACGCAGGCCTTACTTATAGGACTAGGCTCACACTACTCACCAAAACAATATTTCTATCATTCAATTGCTCATAAATGTGGGAATAAATTGCCGCTCTCCCGCCGCTTTGACTGTATTACCCAGGTTTCAGCGCGTCTACGGCAAGCTGTACACGCGTATGATGGAAACAGAGGAAAAGGGTGGCCTCGATCAAAAGGAGGGAAAAGTGCCTCTACTGACCCCTAGTTGCACAACTACCAAAGCCCGAACCCACAATAAACAAGCTACAGATTGATTATTGTTGTAATTATTTCAACCACAAACAAAGTAAATCAGGCTGGAAGTATTTCTGTAACGTGGCCTCAAGCTCTGATGTACCAACTCAGTGCCTGAGGCATTTTATTGGTGCTGTTAATGACTGCAGTTCATCATAAATGCTTGGGCAGGGAGGTGATGAAATTATCTAAAGTATCTAAACTTTATGGAGTCACACCCAGGATTGAGGAGTAGTGAGTTCGTGCCATTAAACTAACAGATTAAGTACATTTTGCAGGGTTTCATCTGCACCTATACCAGGTACCAGCATAGAGATTAAAGTGTTATGTTTGAAACCCCTTTGAATGCAGAGAAAATCTAAATTTGTTTACAAAAAGACATGGCATTCATTGCAATCTCTATCCCCAGGTAGATTCTTTTAAGGACAGGTTTATAGCTACAGAGAAGCAGGGTCTTCAGTTCACTGGTGAAAAACATGAAATCTAGCTCAAATTTTTAAGCTTTGAATCTGAACTCGTAAAACTTCAATATGTGAGGTGTAGTCAGAAGTCAGAACTATATACTATATATTCACACATTTTAAATAAGCTGTTGCATGCAGAATTTTAGAATGCCACAAAGCAATACTCTAATCCTCCCACTTGGCCCATACAAAATATTAAATTTTTTTAATAAAACAAAATTCACTGACATTTTTGCTGGCATGCAACTTTTTTTCCAGCATGCAACCCCAATCCTGAAAAGGATAAAAACAGAATGCAATTGCAAATACTTAAATTGAGAAAATCTAGCATTTTAAGAAAGATATTAGCTCATTTTGAGTTTGATAGCAGCAATATTTCTCAAAAGAAGTGGTACAGGGCCATGTTTACCCATATGCAGCAAACCCATTATATTAACAACAGTCCATAAACATCTGGAAACTGAGAAGACCAGCTGCTAGAATTTGGGGAGACGAATGTTCAGCAGTCCTGAGTCTTCTTTGTACTCTTTGTACCGGTAGTTCAATTTGGGTTTTTGTGTTTGGATTGTTTTTGTTTTGTTTTGTTTTGCGTCTGTCCATTTCCATGACCTTTGACCCAGAGAAATATTTCTGGATCTTGTTCACATGTGGCGTCTTTTTTCCATGATAGAGCTTTAACCTTCATTTCTGGATGGTAAACTGTGGTCATGGCCACACCATGTTGAAGTGTTCCTGAGGCCATTCAGTGACTTCCATGATAGCAACATGCCTGATAGAAACATTTTAATATAGTGACACCCGAGGGCACAAACATTAGAGTTTTTCTGTTTTTTTCAGAGATTTCTTCAGATTCTCAGACTCTTCTGATGATGTTATGTACCGTACGTGGTGAGATATTCCAAGCCTTTAGGATTTGACATTGAGGAACATTATTCTGACATTGTTCAATTATTGTTTTTTGATTTTTTGCAGATGGTTAAACCATCTGCCCATCTTTACTTCCGTGAAACTTTTTATACCCAGACATGTTCCTGACCTGTTGACAGTTAACATAATTAGCTTTTTTGTTGTCCCCTTCCCAACTTGTGTGAGAGGTGTTGTTGCCATTAAAGTCAAAATAAGTTAACATTTTTCTTAAAATGGTTCATTGCACATGATATGTTTTATGTTCTGCTGTGAATAAAATACACATCATTGCATGCTTTTTTTTCTTTACATTTTACACAACATCCTGACTTTTTCAAAACTAGGGTTTTATTTTAATACTTCAAGATTTATCTTCTTGAAATATGGTAGCGATATATATAGACATAAGGGTGCACATTATTGAAATAATAAAGACATTGCCTGCATGGCAGTATATGTTGCTCTAAAACCTCTGTATACCTTTCTGCATGTGTAAGCTTCCAATTCCAGTGGCATGAATGAACCTCCACACTATCAGACATGCAGGTTTTTGAACTGAGCGCTGATAACAAGTCAGATAAATATATAAATCTCCTTGACATTTTTACATTCTGCTATAGCGTATTAACTTCCAGTACATGGCAGTTTCATGTCTTCGCAGCAGTTTCACCAACACTGATTCAAGCCCAGAAAACATGGCCAAGTGCAACATTTAGACAGATGTTAAATCAAATACGTTGCTCTAAAAACAGTGTGCCTTTTAAAATCATCATTGAATTGCTTCTCTCTTGCAGTTTTATTATATATGTTATTTATTACTGGGCTGTCACTGTAGGTATTTATAGCAGCTTACATAAACTGTAGGCTATTAGCCTAATGAACTTGCTTACAGAAGCTTTCTTTAGTAAAATGAACTTCCTGATAAAACTAACAGTGAAATATTAAACAGTGACTCCAATAAAAATATACTGTTTTACACGTAATGCTCATTTATTGGACAACAAACACACACACACAAAAAGGTGCTTGTTGCACCCTTTAGTGGTCACTACTAAATAAGTAGAAAACAAGACACCAGAAGAGCTATTTGTTCTTAATGTTTCTTCTACCGCCATATCTGGTCTGCAATCAGCCTAATGTCCAACCAAATTGTTAACGCAAATAATCTAATCAGTCAGTTAGCTCAGTGCATTTGACTTTGAACATGGCAAGCCTTGCTGCCAGCTTCTGAGAGTTTCAAAAACTGTTGATATGCCGGGATTTTTCTGCCCAACCACCTCTAGAGTTTACAGAGAATGGTCTCCAAAACAGAAACTATTGAATGATGAGAGACTTCTTTAATCTCAAGCTGAGTCTCAGGGATAAAATGCCTAGTTGTTACCAGAGGTCAGAGGAGAACAGCCAGTCTGTTTCTAGCTGATGGGAACAGTCACTCAAATAGCCACCTGTTACTTGCTGAGACTGTGATTCACTCAGGCTCACCTAAATTGGATTCGATGAGTCTTGATTTCTGGTGAGACATTCAGATGGGTCACAATGTGATGTGAAAAACATTAAAAGAACCCTATTAGCAGTTCAGGATCTCATGGTTGTGGGGATATTTTCTTGGCACAGTTTAGGCCCCTTTGTGCCAACTGCAGCATCGTTTAACTACCACAGCCTACCTCAGTGTTATTACTGACCATGTCCATCCCTTTATGACCCTTGTTACGGCCCTAGCAGGGCCTCTTCTTGAAATTTCCCTTGTGTGGGTGTGGTCTTCTCTCTCCGCCTCCTCCTCTTTTGTTCCTCCCACCCTTCTGTCTCTTTTTCACTCCGCCCTCTTGCCACGACGCACCTGCTGTTCATTACCCCGTTTGGCACCTGGACCCAGTCAGCAATCACCTCTTTATTATATAGATTATATAGGCTGGGGAAGAACTGTGTGATGCAAGTGGTTTTCCCCTATGGCGCTACACTGTCTTTTTTAGATGTTGGAAAGGTCCCAATGCGTGTTTGTCCTACCCGTGGTTTTAAGTTGAGTGAGTAGATGGGCCTATAGGCCTTGGAAATGTCTCACCGTGGTGAGGAGTTCAGTTGAGTGAGAAGTGGGAAGTGCCTCTTTGTGTTGTGGAGGTTTTTTTTAGTTGTTTCCTTTGTTGTTTTTGACCTCTTCTTTTCTTTTTGGCCTTACTGATACAGCGGCGTTGCTGACTCTTTGTGTTAAGATTATTTGCAATAAAACCATATTATATGCTAAACACCTCTGTCTGCTTTCCTTTTCATTCTGTTCTGGACTGTTACACCCCGGCCTAGGCAACCGGGGTGCAACGTAGAAAAACAAGGATAAGGAAAAGTTTGATCCAGACAGACGAAGTCGATGAAGGCCCATTTGTTACCGGCCACCACACTCGCAACTCGAAGAATTCCTTCGTGGGGACGTAACATGCCAGCAGGAAAACATGCCATGTTCCCAAGTGCAGATCATCTCAAACTGGTTGCTGGAACATGATAATGAGTTCACTGTACAGGAATGCCGTCTACAGATTCAACAGATCTCAATATCTCAATAGACCACTGGGATGAGGTGGGTTTGTAACTCAGTGCCACAAAGAATTAAGGGGGCCCAATCCTGTACTAGCAAAGTGTACCTAATAAAGTGCCCAGTGAGTGTATGTGCATGAAAAGACAGGGTTATGCCAGTAGTTAACTTTCTCATGCCTTATCTGTCCTTTCTTTAATAGATAAAACACTCTGAGTCACATGTCAAACTGTGGTTACTGAACGTTATATTACTGAAACACTGTTGCAGATATTGGGCTACATACAAAATAGCAAGGGGCACCTCCTCAATGTGACTCACTGCTGTACTATAAGAGTAATTTTCCACAGCAGGTCTGTGCTTTTCAGAAAACGCTTCAGTGCTCTTACAGAGTGTCCACACGAAACTCTGACTAGCACAGATTAGGCCCGAAGCAGACTACATTTTCTGTGCCCCTCTTAGTCTGAAAGGAGAGATTAGGAGAGGATTAGAGCCCACTGGACCAGCTGGCCTCCAAATTCATCCTTAAAATATCTCAGGAATGTCGATATCCTTTCTCCTGACGGGAACCGTGAAACCTGACGGAGGCGCTGTTTCATGCAACGCCATCAGCAGGTTGCTGCTGTAGGTAAGAGCTTCACAGGGAGTAAAAACCACGGCTAAAGTTGTGCAGATTGGAGCAAATAAGGCAAACCTGGCATCTTGTTATTATTATCATTATCATTAATTTTTTAGAAACTGAATGAACTTTGGAAGGAATTTCAGAATATAAATATTATTGCATAAAGGTGATTAAAAGCTTTAAGGTCTGATTTTTTTATTTTTTATTTTTTTCCTGATGGAAACAGGATAGATCGGCGCTGCTCTGCTTTAGCAAAGTGCGCATTTTATTCTACTTTGTACGCACAAAGGAGGTTCTGTTCGCCCCGCTGCAGGTAGATAACTGTGCTCAGGTATTGTAATACGAAACTCAACCACGTGACCAATGGCGAAGTGAGGAGTAGACGAGGGGGGAAAAAGAGCTTTAGATGAAAGACCAA